TGCAACCACATAATCTCACATTGAGTATGATGGAGGACCTCCAAAGACCAGTTTTGGAAGAGAAAAAAGTTTGGCAATTTGAAAACACCATCTTAACCAGTACAATGCACCAAGAGTACAGAAAGGTTAGCTGATAAAAGCAACCATAAGTAAAACATGGGTGCAACATGTGCCAAAGGTGAACTTATCCTTTAAGTCATAACAGCTGCTATTTTTAATTTGTGTGAGAACAGAGTGATTGTAGCCGTATTAGTGCACTTGTGACAAACAATTGAGTACTGACGTGATACTTTTTTATTTGCACTAACATACAATTTTGAGGACAAGCTTTCGGGGTATGTCCCCTTCTTCAAGGTCCAAGCAGTCAGACTGCTTGGACCTTGAAAAAGGGGACATACCCTGAAAGCTTGTCCTCAAAATTGTATGTTAGTGCAAATAAAATAAGTATCATGTCAGTACTCAATTGTTTCTGTGAGAACAGAAAAAGGCTTTCAGCCATACTGTGCTGTATTTGTAGAATCATCTCTAGCAGAGCCCCTGAAGAAGCGTGTGCTGATACACAAAACCCACTCAGGTTGTTTGAGCTCTTCCATCACCCATTCACAAAATGTCTTGTATATATTTTTCACCTGCAATCTGTGAATGGATAGGAAGAGATTCAGTGGTTTAATCACAGAATACTTTGGGGAATATTTATTAAAATTGGAAGACTCAGAATTTGGTGCAGCTGTGCATGGTAGCCAATCAGCTTCTAATTTCAGTTTGTTCAATTAAGCTTTCACAAAAAAAAAACTGAAAGCTGAGACAGAAAGTCATGGGAACGTTTATATGTGTCTCTAGAAGAAGGTGAGGGTTAAAGCAGAACTAAGGTCACAGTGCTTACCTACTCTCCAAAGCTTTGACATTTGCAAGGGGTCCCTCACTGGCACCAGTACCTTCTCCATGGCTTCTGGTGGGCATCAGTCTTTGGCCATCTTGATTGGCTGATGCAGGATGAGGTCACTCCTGAGAATGTGCAGGAGACAGTCATCCTGGCACACAGGGGTTGTGCTTGCAATGTAACCTGAGCTGTGCATCTGTAGCTCAATGAGCACCTTAAAGAATACTGTGAGCAAGCAGGTAGATTTATTTGATTGCAGAAGATGCCCTCACTCCGATAAATAGCATGCCTGCTTGCAAACTGTAATTTTGAATTTCATTTCACTTTAAAGCTTAGTGCCGTGTTTTTATTTGTTTGGACCCAGCTAGTCCAAATATTTGCTTCAGGTGTGCCCACTGGGAGCGCTGTATAATCTGTATGTAGCATCAGCTACATACTGCATACAGTTCTTTGTTACGGTAGCGGGATGGGGACTTCCCATTCCACTCCTGGAACAAAACTGAGTTGGGCTGAATGCTGCTTAGCCCCTCATAGGAAGCCTTGTATATTCATCGGTGAATACAAGGCTTCCTCTGATTGGCTGAGGTGAGCTCTGCTTATCAACCTCAGCCAATCAGAGGAAGCCTTGCATTCACTGGGGAAATACAAGGCTTCCAGTGAATGGCTGACTATACAAACAAATGGCAAGCATCCCAACCTATAACTAGCCTTTGCAGCAAGGAGCGCATGGAAGAGCAATGCACATCAAAAACAAATAAAAATTCCCAGATCACTTACCATCTAGCCTGCAACAAACCAAATTGACCCCAACGGTTCATGTTAAAAAGAGGGGGTTTAGTCACATACATTTGAAAATACATCTGTAAGCCACAGTGGCCACGTCAAGGGACCCCGGTGTACTGCAGTCCCAACTCTATGATTTAAGAGTCTCCCAAGTAGGAGCATGAATAGCAGTAGATAGATTAAGAGTAGGTGTGCCTGGAGGGAGCCCACTCCTCCTTAATCGCAGGAACGCACAGGACACCAAGCAAAAGCACAATGGCAGCTGAAGGTATCCAGTGTGTCCCTGCACCAATTCACCAACTATACAAACAAATGGCAACCACCCCAACCTATAACTAGCTTTTGCAGCAAGAAACACATGGAAAGGCAACAAAACATAAAAAAAAAAAAAATTCCCAGCTCACTTACCAGTCAGCCTGAAACAAACCAAATTTACTGTATAAGAGTTCAAGTTAAAACAAAACAAGGGTTTAGTCGCACACATCTGAAAATATATGAGCAAGCCACAGTGGCCATGTCAAGGCACCCCAGTGTACTGTGGTTATAACGCTATCATTTAGGAGTCTCCCACACTGGAGCACCTATAGCAGTAGATAGATCAAGGGCAGGTGTGCTTGGAAGTATCTCACTCCTCAAAGGTACAGGGACGCATGGGACACCCAGCAAGAGCACAATGGCACCTGTCCAGCGCATCCCACCAATTCAAAAGCTATACGCTCAGCCTGACTCGATTTTGTACTTGGAGTTGGATGGGAAGTGCTCATTCCGCTGCTGGAGCACAGCGCTGTATGTAGCTAAAGATACATACAGTTTATTCAGCACTCCCAGTGGGCACATCTGTTAGTGAAAGAAATATGGTCCAATGTGGTCCAAATCAACTATTTAAATTACACGAAACATGAAATTAGGCTTTAATGTTCAAACTGGGACACCAATTCCACTGACAACAATTTCTGCTCCATCTCTGGTGCAGGGAAATTTCCCCAGTGGGTCACAAACAGCAAAAATAAACTGACAGGGGTTTATGTTGTGTGCTATTTTGTATTGATAAGTGACTAAAAAAATGTTGCTGCTTTTCAGCAACTCTTGTAAATGAAGCAATGAAGAATGTACTAAGACAGAGTTTCTATATATATTCATGCAATATTTCTCAGCTGTGCTTCAATAATAAATCCATCATTGTTATTCAAGTTGCCTTCTAATAAAAAAAAAACTATGTCATAATGACATGTAAGAGCAAAAGGTAATGAAAACTATAGTGCCATAATGCATTTAGTGTTCATAATTAAGATTTTTTTTGAATATCTAATAATATTATCATGCAATTATGCCGAGTGAGGGCTGACAGCCCTACCTAATATGGGGTTTGCCAACCATGCTTAATTCAGCTCTCTGTACTAACAACTGCAATGTATTGGTGAACCAGGAAAATAAAAAAAAAAATGATATATTAATTCTTATAGTTTGTTTTGTGTGGAATGTGTCATGATCCTAAACAAAAATTATTAAACATTATGCTACACACATGGTATTGGTTGAAATGCGTATGCTTAAAGCTAAACACCATAAAGAAATCAAACTTTATGAGTTTAGTAATAGAAACATGCAGAATTAAATTACTTTTTAATTCTATTTTAGTGGTTTAATAATTTTATTTTAGTGTTTTCATTTCCTGCTCAATGTTTGGGACATGTGATGCAGTTTAGCTGCTCTAAAATGTAAAATACAGTATATCAATATAAGAGAGTGTATACAAGCAGGTAAAAAGCTACTCCTTGTGATCTTACTGCAGTTTTTTTTAGACTACTTGTACCAAAAGTCCTTTCAGATAAAAGTAGCATTAAACCCTCAGCTTTTATAGTTTACTACATTGAATACCATAAAATAATTATAATCATTCCCCAATAAACTATTTGTAGACATTTTTACCTCAGCACTTGCAGTTTACAACGTTCAATGCTGCTGGCTCCTGCTCTCGAAGTGCTGCTTCCCTGAATTTCTTTTCTTCACAGGAAAATGTTAAGAGTATACGGTGCAGTCTCCAGTCAGTCTGTTAGCTTTGAGAAGGAAGAAGCAGGGGGTGCCTTGCCTATCTAGGCTTTGGGGCTCCGTGTTTATATTGATAGACACAGTTTAGAGAGATACAAGTCTAGTTCTTAAATGCAAGGGTGGCTCCATAGGATGCTGCAAGAGAAAGGAGCCACCCTGAAACAGGAAGCCTGGAGCAGTGATCATGGTACCAGCTTAAACTGGAATATATGCAAGGATTAAAACATACAGAAGCTGCATACATGGTAAGTGATTACACCACCTGCTGAAAGTTTTTTAAAAATTGAGGGTTGAATATCATTTTCATGGTCCAGCATTGTCTTTCGAAACTCCAATTTTGTGGGGAAAAAATTAGCAAATAAATAAAATAATATAGCATATGCAATTGCGGCTCAAGTCATATTGTAATTGAATGTTATTAAAAATTACTTTTCTATTTCAATCTGCTGAACTGTAATTTTCTGTAAAATGCAATGCAATATGGCTACCTTGAGGTGTTCTGTACACAGATGGTGTACAGAACGCCCCTCGTATATGTAATTTCCTGTTTGTGTGATTGGCTTACTGATTTTCCTAGAAGTCTGCACTAAGATACAAGTCAGCTTTTTGGCATCCCCTGCAACAAAAATTTAATTTTGGGTGAGATACTCCCAAAAGGAAATCACATCTAGAGGGATGCAGATCTTGCCAATTTCCCAATTAGAGCCCTGCAGGTGCAGCAGCTGATTGAAAATTATAAAATCACTCCCTTACAGATTCACTTACCACATGAACACAGACAAACAGATATTTCTTCAGAATAACAAAAGATAGGAATCTGCAACACAGTTTGTTAAAATCCTTGCAATGTACATAGATCACCCAGAGGGGAAGGTTTTTTCTCAACAAAAGTGAAGCTACTTTTTAAAGACAAATACAGCTGTTTGATTACTATGCTGACACATCAGCAGATAATCACTAGTGCAACTATCTCTACACAGCTAGGCTTTTGAAAAATCTATAACTTGACACTTGGTCTGTCCCCATTGTCACATTTTTCTTCCTTCTAGAATGAATCTATAAAAAAAGACTTGACTCATAGACACTAATGTGAAATGAAAACTCTGTTACCCCGAATTATTATAAGAGGCTTGTAGAATGGCCAAATATTTACCATCCTTTTACAAGGACCACTATGTTTAATGGCACCTGAAATGACAAATATTGACATTGATACTCTCTGTAATATTATTAACATGAACCTACCACAAGCACCATTGTATTACATCTTTGTCCTCATCTCCCACAGTGCAGAATATCCTGACCTCCGAAAACACAACAACTGTATGGCAAGCAGCCTAACGCCTGCCATTTATGCCAAACTCTGTAACAAGAGCACTCCTAATGGCTATACTCTCGACGAATGCATCCAGACCGGAGTTGATAACCCAGGACATCCCTTCATTAAGACTGTGGGTATGGTGGCAGGAGATGAAGAATGCTATGAGGTGAGAAAGTCAATGAGTCTCCTATTGATTTCATATATATATTTATATATATATATATATATATATATATATATATATATATGTATCCCACACACACTGCTCAAAACAATGATGGGTTAAGGACCTTCTACGGCCCTGTCCAGCTCTCCTAGAGTAACTGCCTGTCTCCTGGAATCTCCTCCATGCTTGTAAGAGAGAAATAAGCAAAGATGTCTTCAGACAGTTGTAAATTCATAACCCACTAATTAAACTGAGCTTTAACCTAGTCCTGATGAATGAACTCAGCTCCGTTCAGTTAATTTGCAGTGCGGTTACAGTAATAATCCATGCTGGGGCTGTAAACACAGATGAGAAAAACATGTTTCTGCACTGCAGGGAAGCTTTACAAATCTGCTTAGCTACTTGAAGAAGTAGGTTAGGGCTAAAAGAACGGTTCTTAGTCATGAGACTGAAATTCATGTGATCAATAGTTTTGTGTACATTTCAGTGATTTTAATAAGAACTGTTACAAAGGTGAATTGTAAGTGCTTGACTGAAAAATCGATCACCCACAGTAAAACAATGCTGCAATTTGTGTAGCAGAAAGTGTTAGTGATTAATCTCTTTTTACCGAAGACTATTGCTGAGCAATGAATCTATGTAAATATTTTTTCCCATTTTAAAGTAAATCCTCACATATACAATAGAATTGCTATAATAGCCATTTGACAGTTTATTGCAGCCAAGATAAAGCTGGCAAAAAAAATGTACAATTGTCTTTCTTGCAGCCATGAAAAGAGTGCCATGTGGGGGATTTACTAAAACTGGTGTGCACAGAATGTGGGTGCGGCTGTACATAGTAACGAACCAGCTTCTAGGGTTTATAGTAAAACCTTTTTTGAACAAGCTGAAATTAGACGTTGATTGGTAACCATGCACAGCTTCACCAGATTCTGTGTGCACCAGTTTTAGTAAATCCCCGCCTTTGTCTCCCAGATATCTCATCCCCTTCTCACGTGACCAGCACACTGCTTTACCACAAATTTGCACAAAGCATAGAACCAAGTATAGGCATTTTTCTAAATATTACAGTGCTGGAGTTATAATAGTAAAGGCAGAACCTCTTATTTTGTAGTTGTTTTAGAAAGTGTTGGCAAGGCTTACATCATGCTCTATAAATTAAATTGTGCCCAGGATCTGCATAGTTCCCATTTCCTGCTGCTTACACTTTCTTACTGGCTAACAAATGTGATATGTGGTTTCATAAGCCAAGAGGATGATGTTGGGGGGTGGAAGGGTGAGATATTCATTAAGCTCAGTTCCTGATGCTCAACCCCCTGTTCCCCTTTAAATTCTAACCGTGCTAACAACCTCTGGATACTAGTGTAGCCCATCTCCAACCACCTATTCATAGTATAAAGTTAATATCTGCTCAATGAGCAACAAATTCATCTTTGAGTTTTTTCTTCTCAGTGTTGCCTGCACTTTATTACTGTCTAACAAATGTGATAGGTGGTTTTTCATACACCAAGAGGAAGAGGGTAATGGGATATTTATTAGGCTCATTTCCTGATACTCAACCCTCTAAGCCCACTTCAAATTCTAACCATGCTACTTACCTCTGGATACTAGTCTAGCCCAGCCATTTTCAGCCAGGGTGCCCAGGCAGGCTAGAGTGCCTTGAGGTTCTTCAGGGGTGCCTTGGCAAAATGTCTAAAAATTGCCCAAAAATTGTATACAAGCCAGCAGGTGGAACAAGCCTGCCTTTTAGTTACACAAAGTCACAGATTTTCATTGTGCTCTATTACAACCTTTTATCTGCTGGCGTCCTAACAACCAATACACCATCAGCTGATATGGAGGATGTAGGTCGTCTGCATGGTGTCCTTGTATGACCCTCCCCTGCCCCTCTTTGTCAGTAATCGTGTCACAATAGCTGAGTGATAAAAAAAAAACTGAGGGAGAAGAGAAACATTGGAACACTATTCAGTATCAGTGTATTTGCTTTGGAAAAATAAATCCCCTCTACCTTTGGGTGTCCTACATGTGTGGGTGTGGCTGCATTAGGTAAAACTATTAGAATATTTTTTACATTTTAGAATGGGGTGCCTTGAGACTGTCCATAATTTTAAAGGGTGCCTCAAGAATGTTCATAACTTTAAAGGGTGCCTTGACTGAAAAAGTTTGAGAAACACTGGTCTAGTCTATCACCAATCATTTCTCTGCTGGTTACAGGTAGTGCCTGCACAATGAGCAACAAAATCTTATCTGAGTTTTTTCTTCTCAGTTTTGCCTGCACTTTTTCACTGGCTAACAAATGAGATAGTTGGTTTCATAAACCAAGAGAAAAGTGTAGATGGGTGGACATAATTATTAAGGTCAGCGCCTGATACTCAACTCCTTACTCCTCTTCAAATTCTAACCATGAAAGTCACCTCTGGACACTAGACTAGCCCATCTTTGACCACCCCTCCACTGGTTACAGCCAGTTCCTGCTCAATGAGCAGTAAACTTTTCTTCGAGTTATTACTTCTCAGTGTTGCAAGTTATTAATTCAGATCCAGGATCTGGACTGCCATATGAGTAAACCACTTAAACCTAGAGCAGAAGTATTTACCCTTAAACAATAATATGTTGCACAGGATAGCATTGTTAAACACGGTACATATCATAAATGACTATATGCTTTCAGTAAGGCACTTAGTAACCACAAATAAAAAGCAGTAGCAAAGTCAGTGTGCCTCTAGCCTTGCTAAAGAACTTCAGTTTGTATGAACTAGTAGACCAAAAGATCTTAGAATTATGCAAAAATATCCGATTACAAAATTACCTTTGCTTGGTAAAGCCTGGTTGTCTTGATTCTAAAATGTGCAGTTAAACAAATATATTTCAGTGGATAAACTGCAAATTTCATGATCACTCAGCCAGGTTTTACTTACTTTTTTCTTGTTTTCATTTAAAAAATGATGTGCAGAAGTTTTTTCACAGGGTGAACGGGTGAAAATTATATTTAATATTGTAGTAAATCAAAAAGATCAATGTATTGTACAAAAATTCTTAGATAAAATTATGTGTAATAATCTCTGAAATGGTTTTCTTAATGTTCTAGGTATTTTCAGATATTTTTGATCCCGTAATAAAAGAGAGACATAATGGATATGACCCAAGAGCCATGAAGCATCCCACAGATTTAGATGCCAGCAAGGTAAATGTCACAGAAAATGCAAACACCAAGGAATGATAAGTCCATGAAGCTGGCCATAGAAAATGGCAAATTTGATAAACTGAATTTATACAGTATATTACCCACTATGTGTTCCTTGTGTTTGCTCCTGGCAGATTAAAGCTGGCCATTTTGATGACCGTTATGTACTGTCATCTCGTGTTCGCACTGGAAGAAGCATCAGAGGCTTAAGTTTGCCCCCAGCATGCACTCGTGCTGAGAGAAGGGAAGTTGAGAAGGTGTCAGTGGAAGCCCTTAATGGCCTCAAAGGAGACCTTTCTGGACGTTACTACAGACTCAGCGAAATGACAGAAAAAGAGCAGCAACAATTAATAGATGTAAGTCTCCAACTAAGATTAACTATCTCTACAATAAACTCAAGGTTTACAAGTAAACTAAACATTTTTCTTGGATTATATGAACTAGCAATGTAGAGTAATCTTCCGGTTCAGCACAGTTACTGCAAGTATCTGTAGGGATTTTGTTGTTTTTTTAACCCATTGCTAGGGTAATAATTTACCATTTTAGATATAACAGACTTGATTTGTCTTTCCATGCAATTTATGCTAAGTTGGAAACTCTATATATGGGATCAGGAAACATTTGTGCATCCAGACAGATGTTTCTTTTCTAAACATGTCATAGTATTACATGGGCTTTCATACACAAATTCGTACTAAAATGTACTTCTCAGTACATTTGATGACTTGATGAATGTCCTTCAAAAAGTACTAAAAAAAAGTTTCATTTCATTTTAACATTCTTTTTTGGAATGAATGAACTTTTTTTTTCTTTTTACTATTGAGTGTAATATCAGAGAAGGTTGTTATTACACTGTGGAGAGCTGCAAATTTGTCCTTTTGTATTTTAACTTCATGTTTTTTTTCTTAATAGGATCATTTCCTCTTTGACAAGCCTGTGTCACCATTACTGACAGCAGCAGGAATGGCCCGAGACTGGCCTGATGCTCGTGGCATTTGGTAAGAGGCTGTGAAACAACGTTTATGTCTGTTAACAAACAGGATGCAATATGTTAAGCCATATGGTCCAAAAATGTCACTTGCAGAATTAAGTAACAAATGCAGTCAATGCAGTAATTCATTGTATGCTCCTCAGTACTTTGATACTATATGAATATCATCCACTGCTAGACCCATGAGTGCCTTGCCTCTATACCTGTTGGATGGATTTCTTTGTGGGTGAGCACCTGGACATTTACCTCACAAAAAGAGTGCAGTGGCTACCCTTGGGACAATATACATACAAGGTGTGTCCAGAAAGTATAGAATGAGTATGAGAATATTTTAAAAATGATTTTATTGAAAAAGTTTACAATTGAACATAGTTTCCTTCAAAGTATGCACCTTGTGAGTGTACACAACGCTCCCAGCAATTTTTGCATTCTTCATAGCATCCCTAGAAGGCTTCATGGGATGGTGTTCAGAGCCTGCAAAGTAACTCTTTAGACTTTATGCATACTACCAAAATGGTGTCCTTTCAAACCCTTTTTCTTTTGCACCTGAGAAACTCTTTGTTTTGAGCAGCCAAGAACTTCCAGGTAACATTTTTGATTCAATGTGAAGTACGTACAAATTCCTTATGGACAATTTCACATAAAGCAAAAAAAACAATGACCATTGATTTGACTTCTGATTTGCAAATCTGAGCTTTCTTGGGGCAATGGGTGACATGGGTACGTGTCACTCTGAACTTTGTTTCTTCGTCTCGGGATCATACTTAAACACCCAAGATTCATCTCCTGTGATCACTTGACTCAGGATCTCTTTCTAAACAGGCCAACAGGTCTTGGCAAACAAGTTGACGGCGTTCCTTCTGATAAGGTGAAACGTTCTTTGAAACAAGTTTTACACACACTTTTCTCATGTTCAAATCCTCAGTCATGATTTCATGAACTTGGTAATTGGTAATTTGACTTGGTAATTCCCATTTCCTCTGGAATTATTCTGATAGTGAGCCTTTGGTCACGGTTTAGAACAGACCTCATTGCATCCACATTCTGTTCCATTTTTGATGAAGAGTAACATCCTGATCGTTGTTAGTCTTCAACACCTTCTCGTCCTTCCTTGAAGGACTTTGTGCCTTTGGTACACTTGTGCAGATGATAGGGCATCCATCCATATGCTTTCTTCACCATTTCCAATGTTTCCGATGCATTTTTACCCAATTTCACACAAAGTTTTATAGTGTACCGCTGTTCCAAACACACTTGCATTTTTCTTAATATGAGGCACTTGAACAGGGTGTCACAAAAAAGAATGTCTTGACTCTGACAGGGCTGGAACGCAACTGATCAGTGTTCTAACATATACCTGGCACCCCACCGCAAGTGACCTTTGCCAGCTTCTCCCTTTACAGAGCCCTTCTTGAGCGTAGGCACTTCATTCTCACTATATTCTGGACACACCTCATGTCCAGAATATAATATACAATAGACAGTGCTGGATTACTAAATACGCAGAATAGGCACCAGCCTATGCCTCCCATGCCATTGAAGGGCCCCAGCAACAACAGATCAAAATAATATTGATTTGATCTTGAAAGAAAATTACAATGAAACTTTCTTAAATTGTTTGCAAAAGATAGAAAAAAAATAAATCAACTCTACTTTACATTAAAGACACTGTGGTGAAAATACTGCAACAATGCAATGTACCCAATAACAACTTAAAATGGAATTTCACTTTCTCCATCAACATTGACAATTTTTATTCCTTATGCTGCTAGTATTAGTAAATAGATAGGAAGGAACATTATATTTACTTGTTTAAAATTTTTTGTATCCATTTCTTCTGCTACTTCCTGGTTTCTATACCTAGGTAAATTGTGCCATAAATTCCAGGAGTCTTCAGGAGGGGAAATGCTGGGGGGGGGTTCTCAGCAAAATAAAGAATAGAGACATGGATGGATGGGGAAATTTTGCTTTGAATACTAAACATTTATTAAATAGTGTTTTTGTTTTGTGATGCTCAGAAGCAATGTAAATTTGCTTTAAAGTACATAAACCATAGACATCAGGTTCACATTAAAGTTGGTCTCATAAAAGCTCATCTTCTTTCAGCTGTCCGTTTGTAAAAAATTTGATGCCACCTAGGTACATGTAATGTACAGTAGTGATGGTCATCTCCATCTAGTGGCTGAAGTGCACACTACTTAGTTCAATGTTATCCTGCTAGAGCACGTGCACAAGAATCCTCCAGAAAGGCCTCAGGGCCTCAACAGAGTTTAATCCAACACTGACAATAGTGTCATCACACGCAATTGTTTCTTCTCTTGGAAGTACAAAAAAAAATTATATTTTTTTTACTATATTCCATTCACACAAGAGTGCGGCGCTTGTTTCACAGATACCAAAAACCTGGGTGCACAGTTTAAGAAAAAATGTAGTCCAATGGAAGGGAAGCCCTCACCGGCTACTTCCATGAGAACAAAGAGTGAAGTAGACTCTAATTTTTAATCAAATCAGTCTTTCAATGAGATACAGCTCATCTGTCTCTGGTTTACCCAGAAGAAGGTGAGCTGTGTCTCACCAAATTGTGTATATATATATATATATATACATATATACACTCATTGGCCACTTTATTAGGCCATCTTGCTAGTTAGACCCACTTTTGCCTTCAGAACTGCCTTGATTCTTTGTGGCATAGATTCAACAAGGAAACATTCCTCAGAGATTTTGGTCCATATTGACATGATAGAACCCACACACACTGCAGATTTGTCGACTGTACATCCATGATGCAAATCTCCGTTCCACCACATCCCAAAAGTGCTCTATTGGTTTGAGATCTGGTGACTGTGGAGGCCAATGGAGTACAGTGAACTCATTGTCATGTTCAAGAAACCAGTGTGAGATGATTTGAGCTTTGTGAAATGGTGGATTATCCTGCTCCATACAATGTTGGAAGTAGCCCTCAAAAGATGGATATACTGTAGTCATAAAGGGATGCAACAATACTCAGGTAGAGAGTGGCGTTTAAACAATGCTCAATTAGTACTAAGGGACCCAAAGTGTGCCAAGAAAATACCCCCCAAACCATTACACCACCACCACAAGCTTGAACCGTTGATACAGGGCAGGACGGATCCATGCTTTCATGTTGTTTACGCTAAATTCTGACTCTACCATCTGAATGTCGCAGCTGAAATTGAGACTCATCAGACCAGGTAACGTTTTTCCAATCTTTTATTGGCCAATTTTGGCGAGCCTGTGTGAATTGTAGCCTCCATTTCCTATTCTTTGCTGACAGGAGTGGCACCCGGTGTGGTCTTTTGATGCTGTAGCTCATCTGCTCCAAGGTTCAACGTGTTGTGCATTTCAGAGATGGTATTCTACATACCTTGGTTGTAACAAGTGGTTATTTGAGTTACTTTTGCCTTTCTATCATCTCAAACTAGTCTGCCCATTCTCTTCTGACCTCAACAAGGCATTTTTGTCCACACAAATGCCACTCACTGGATATTTTCTCTTTTTTGGACCATTCTCTGTAAACCCTAGAGATGGTTGTGCGTATTCAGCATTTTTTTTAAATACTCAAATCAGCTCGTCTGGCAGCAACAACTATGCCACACTCAAAGTCACTTAAATTCCCTTTCTTCCCCAGTCTGATGCTCGGTTTGAACTTCAGCAAGTCATCTTCACCACGTCTAGATGCCTAAATGTATTGAGTTGCTGCCATGTGACTGGCTGATTAGCAAATTGTGTTGTCATGCAATTTCACAGGTGAACCTAATAAAGTGGGCAGTGCATGTATATTTCTGTGTCTCTCTTGGGGAATATGTGATCAGAAATTAAAACTATTTAATTTCACCTAAAAAGGGAAGTTCCACTTCCTGCCCTCCATCCCCAATCTAACAGTTTGGGAACTTTTTTTTTTTACTTTGGGGATGAACCTAGATTTGTCAGGTACCCACTCCCACTTGAATCGCTTAGGCACATGTGCAGTGGGGAGCCAGCTGTGAAGCTGCAAGGACTCACAGTCGGCTTCCTACAATAAACATGCTAGAGTCCCGAAGACTGGTGAAAAAGTCAGCAGCTACTATATTTATAGGTGCTGACTTTTAATTTTACATTTCAAAACCTATTGCAGAACCACACTTAATACTATCATAACATATCTAACTGCTCTGTATGTTTTTCAGGCACAATAATGAAAAGACTTTCCTTATCTGGATAAATGAGGAGGACCACACCAGGGTAATTTCCATGGAGAAGGGAGGAAACATGAAGAGGGTGTTTGAAAGATTTTGCAAAGGACTGAAAGAGGTAAGGAAGAGTACTGGAAGGTATTTTAGAGGCTGAACACAGGTAGGGAAGAGCATTAGGCTTAACAGCACTACCTGCCTGGAGTCTGCATGTTCTCCCTGTGCCTGTGGGTTTCCTCCCGGTACTCTGGCTTTCTCCCACGTCATCTCTTTGCAAACTTAGATAGAATAGGCTGGGAGTGGGAGTAGGTTTAGCCTTAGTTAGTTTTTGACTAAACTTCCACTTTTAAATTGTCTGTAATGTGCTGACAGATCTACAGTATATGTAATCTAGATTTGAAAATGGCTTCCCTCTGCAACGCTGTCAACTAGAAGAAGTATTGTATGCATGTTTAGGCATACACACTTTTACGTGTGTTTACACAAGGTCTTTATTGAATGTTTTACTCAGGATCTTTCTGTCATGTCTGTTATGTACATATGCAGGAGGCCTTAGAAGCTGGCCTGCTGTATTATATGTTAGATAGACAACATTTTCAAAGGACAGACTGACTTTGACATTGCTCAGAAATCCTTGCTGTCAGTCATGAGGCCTTCTCCAGAGAAATATCTAAAGAAATATTTTTAAAAAAACATTTTAACATAAAGTATGTTGTGGGAACACATAACATATAGTGACATTTTCTCAAATCCGACTTCAAATGTGGAGATATACTTAAGACTGAAACCACTGCAACAAAGAAGAATGGGGAGCAGAACACAAGCCACTTCTCCTATGTCTGTAGGATCTAGGCAAAAAGACAGCGATGTCATCTGTCAGTCTGTAATAGGAATCTTGCTATGAGGTTTTTATGAGATGGAAAGTGAATTTTCAGCCATGCCAGCCATTTATTTGCTTAGAAAATGAATACTGGTTATAGCTGGCTTTAGGCACGCCTAAAGCAAACATACCTACCCAGTCTAACCACTCTCCCAACTAATATATCAGAGGAAATGGGTTGTTTCTTTCTCTGATTCCATACCCTATATGTTTTTGGTGTTTATACAAAGCACGGTTGGTGAGCTAGTTCTTTGTTTATCTCTGACATAGTACAAATCAGAAGTTGATACCGCTTATATATGTTAACAGACTGTCACTCTGCCCTCTACAGGTTGAAAGGCTTATCCAGGAGAGAGGTTGGGAATTCATGTGGAATGAGAGGCTGGGATATATCCTGACTTGTCCATCTAACTTGGGCACTGGCTTGAGAGCTGGCGTTCACATGAAACTACCTCTGCTGGGCAAGGTAAGCTATGTGCACTTTTCCAGTGTATGATCAGATATTTTTGTCATACTGATAACTGGCACCAGTGTACAGTATTAGGCTGCATTCACATCTGCACATTCCGGGACTGCACTTAGAAATGCGTATTACCAAAATGCATGAAAATTGCGTGTCACTCTTGTGGTACCATTAACTGTTAATGGCACCCCAAAGGTGGCCAGCAAATGCGTGTTTTTGTGCTCTGCAAAATGAGCAACAAATGCGTTAAAGTGCACGGTAAAAAAAAACACAAAGTTTAACACCCACCAATCCGCATTGGCGTTTTTTATCTGCTGCATTATACAGTTTTTGTAATAAAGGATACCATTTTGCTGTTATGCCAGGGAGCAGTTTTGTTTTCATGTATTGTACAACACTGGAAGCTATAAGAAGCTATTCTACCTGTGCTGCCTATAGCTGTGATGGTTGGAGGTTGCAGGACTGCTTCACCTGCTGGAGTTAACACCTGAAAAGGACTTTTGACTTGTTTTTGTGTGTAGGGCAGAGTATTCAAGTGAATGAGCAGCACTTTGCGTGTAGAATGAAAACAAGCAAAAAAAAAGTGGAGGAAAATGCGTGTTCAAGCGATGAGCATATGGTAATTGAGCCTTGCATCTCACATATATACCACCTATTACCTACCGTTACATTTACAGGCGTATAATTCATACATATGTTTTACGTTTAAGACTAGTGATGAGCTAAGGTTCAGGCTGAAGCAAATTCGATTCGAACCTGCAGGAAGCAGTCACAGGATAGTGGGCCATATTTGTAAAATTCAGACATGCTTATACTTTACTGCACTCTGGATGGACTACAAGCAAAACACCCTGGGAAACATCTACAAGCCTGATTCCCAAAACATTCAAAACATTACCAATAACATATAAAGCCATTTATAACTCTGCCCCAAACTACATCACCAATCTTGTCTCCAAATATCAGCCATATTGTCCTCTCCGCTCCTCCCACAACCTCCTGCTCTCTAGCTCCCTTGTCTCCTCCTCCCATGCTGGTTTCCAGGACTTCTTTCTATGATCACCAGTTCAATCTATTGGCCACAATGTGGTATTTTCCTGAAATACCGCAATTAGGAAAATACTGCTTTATGGCCACAAAATGGAACGTATGATCATTTAGGCACAATACAGGATTATTCATGACAGCTGAGGAAATGCTTTAGATATTAAGAACATTTTTTTTTTAAATAGACCCTATAAAGTAAATAAATGGTGCTTAGATAAATTGCAAATAAATTCCAAAGCGTTCTCTGATTGGGAATGAAGTAGACAGCATGATATCAACTCCCCACTTCTTCCAATCATAGAAAGTTTTGCATTCATTCAGAAAATACAAACCATTCTCTGAATGGCACCCATGTTCATTGGAAGACCTCCTGTAATTTCCTGTGCATTGGGCCGGCCGCTCAGCCCGGGATCCAGATGCAAGTGGAGATCACTGGAATAACAATGTCTACTTCAGTGATTTCCATCTTCCAGGGGCCTCGTGGCAGGTATGGTATATACATATTATAGTAAGCTGAACAAAGCTGAACCAGTGCAACTATATAAGATACCGTTCCTGGAATTCATCATTAACTACAAACCATATTAAGCGTAAAACTTATACCAGTAAAATGAGTGATGTACTGATGAAGCAGGATATTTATTATGTTAAATGATTTACAATTGTTTTTCCTATTGAAAGCTTGTGATCAAAGATTTCCATCTGCTTTTCTTAGGTATTGTTTTACTCAGTAGGAATTTTCTTTTCACTTTTTTGTATACTATGTACTGAGATATATTTGTGCATGTTTTTAGGATCCTCGCTTCCCCAAGATTCTAGAAAATCTTCGTCTTCAGAAGAGAGGAACAGGAGGAGTTGACACGGCTGCTGTTGGTGGCATATTTGATATCTCGAACTTGGACCGGTTGGGGAAATCCGAGGTAGAGTACAATGATAACGATCTCTATGGAGTTAATTTTTAAAACGGGAGAGTGCAGCTTTGCATAGAAACCAATCAGCTTTTTTTTTTTTTGTGAAAGCTTAATTGAGCAAGTTGAAGCTAGAAGCTGATTGGCTACCATGCACAGCTGCAGCAGATTTTGAACTCTCCAGTTTTACTAAATCAACCCCAGTGTGGTGGTGGTCATGGGGGTTGGAGTCTATTTGAAAATATTTATTTAAAAAAAGCATGCAGAGTTTGTATAGCACCAAATTAAATTAAACATATAGTAATTACCACTTTGTATTATATTAAAGATTTGTCAGGGACAGTCTACATAGGAATGTCAAAATTTCAAAATAAATGTATAAAAATAGTGTGTGTGTGTGTGTGTGTGTGTATATATATATATATATATATATACACACTGAATATTAAGGAAGCCCTTCATATAATATATACACAATAAATATCAATTAATGTAATATAAATATATCTAATATATTTATATGTCACCATAAATAAAATTGTAATATAAGTGTGATTCATATACACACACAGGGGTTGATTTACTAAAACTGGAGAGTGCAAAATCTGGTGCAGCTGTGTATGGTAGCCAATCAGCTTCTAACCTCAGCTTGTTCAATTAAAGTGGTTGTAAAGGCTGAAGGTTTTTTACCTTCATGCATTCTATTCTGTCAATTACAGCCAGTCAGCCAATGAGAATAGAGGGGGGCAGGGCCAAGCGTGTGCGAATGGGCACACGGAGCAGCGGGTGCCCCCATAGCAAGCTGCTTGCTGTGGAGGCACCCAACAGACAGGAGGAGTGAGGAGAGCCTGTGGGTGACCCGAGAAGAGGAGGATCCAGGCTGCTTTGTGCAAAAGCACTGCACACAATAGGTAAGTAAAGACATGTTTGTTATTTTACAAAAAAAAAAACAAATTAACCTTTAGAATCGCTTTAAGCTCTGGCAATAAAACGTGTACGCTGATTGGTTTCTCTGCAAAGCTGCACCAGATTTTGCACTCTCCAGTTTTAATAAATCAACCCCATAGTTAAATAGTCTGGTCAAAAAATGTCCATCTAGTTCAATCCACAGAAAAAAAAAAAACACACACAAACAGAAAACCTCCATATACACAATCCTATACCCCCAGTTGATCTAGAGGAAGGCAAAAAAACTCCAATAAAGCATGATCCAATTTATTCTGGGGGGGGGGGAATATTTCTTCCTGATCTCCCAAAAGGCCATCAGAAATTCCCTGGATCAACTTTGTTATAAATGTTAGTATCCAGTTATATTTTGAGTATTTAGGAAAGAATCCAGGCCTTTTTAAAACAATCTACTGAGCTGGCCAGATCCAGCTTTTGAGGGAGTCTATTCCTCATTTTCACAGCTCTAACTGTAAAGAAGCCTTTCCATATTTGGAGGTTAAATCTCTTTTCCTCCAGACGTAAAGAGTGACCCCCTGTCATCTGTGATGACTTTAAAGTGAATAACTACACCAAGTTCACTATATGGACCACTTATGTATTTACATATCCTCCCTTAACCTCCTCTTCTCAAAAGAGAATACATTCAGTTCCTCTAATCTTTCCTCATAGCTGATCGCCTCCATGCCTCTTATCAGTTTGGTTGCCCTTCTCTGTACTTTCTCCAGTTTGCCGATATCCTTTTTGTGAACTGGTGCCCAAAACTAAACAGCGTATTCCTAAAGACGTCTTACTAAAGATTTGTACCGGGGTAACATGATATCTCTATCTCTGCAGTCCATACCTCTTAATACAAGAGAAGATTTTGCTCACTTTGGAAAACGCAGCTTGGATTTACATGTAATAAGGCTATGATCTACCAGAACACCCAGTTGTACTCCTCCTAGCATATATGATACATGTATATTCTTAGCCCATAACTTTACATTTATCAACATTAAACCTTGTTTGCAACATAACTGCCAAATTACACAGTGCATTGAGGTCAGCTTGTAAATTGGAGACATCCTGTAAGGACGTTATTCCACTACACAGCTCGGTGTCATTTGCAAAGACTGAAATGGTACTTTTAATCCCAGACCCTATATCGTTTATAAATATATTGAAAAGTACGCTGAACCTTGGAGTACACCACTAGCAACCTAAGACTTTTCAGAGTATGAATCATTAACCGCTACTCTGTGAATAGGTCTTTAACCAGTTTTCTATCCATTTACTTATTATTAATATTATTATTATTATTATACAGGATTTATATAGTGCCAACAGTTTGCACAGCATGTTACAAAATGAAGGTAGGCATTACAGTTACAATACAATTTGGTACAAGAGGAAACAGAGGGCCCTGCTCGTTAGAGCTTACAATCTAGGACAGGTTGAGTAATACAAAAGGTAATAGTTGTGGGGGATGAGCTGATGGATGAAATAAAAGGCAGTTTACTAGTTAGCAGCAGGATAGGCTTTTTTAAAGAGAGAGGTTTTCAAGGATCATCTAAATGGATAAATTAGGAGATAGCCAGACATATTGGGGTAGGGAGTTCCACAGGATGGGAGAAGCTTGGGAGAAGTCCTGGAGGCGAGCATGGGAGGAGGTGACGCGGGAACTAGAGAGCAGGAGGTCTTGGGAGGATCGAAGAGAGCGGTTTGGTTGATATTTTGAGACCAGGTTGGTGATGTAGCTGGGGGGAAGAGTTGTGGATGGCTTTGTAAGTTGTTGTTACCATTTTTAATTTTATTCATTTGGCAAGTGAAAGCCAATAGAGGGATTGGCAGAGAGGGGTAGCAAACACTGAACGGTTGGTAAGATGGATGAGCCTGAGAATTCAAGATGGACTGGAGAGGGGATAGCCTAAGAAAAGGTACACCAATGACGAGGGAATTGCAGTAGTTGAGGCGAGAGATAACCAGGAGGGAATTAGCTTTGTGGTATCATTGGTTAAAAAAGGACGTATTCTGGAGATGTTGTGGAGGTTGAGGCGGCATGATTTGGACAGGGATTGGATGTGGGCCTGAAAGGATAGCTCAGAATCCAGGGTTACCCCTAGCACCCTGGCATGCGGGGATGGGTTGATAGTGGTGCTATTGATCCTGACCGAGAAAACAGAAGAGGCACGTGGGAGAGGAAATATTATGTGCTCAGTTTTGGATTGACTGAGTTTTAGGAAGTGGTGTGACATCCAGTCTGATATGTCTGTTAGTAAATCAGTGATACGTGAGGAAACTGATGGGGTGAGCTAACGAGTAGAGAGGTAGATTTGTGTATCATCAGCATAGAAATGGTATTGGAAACCATGGGAAGCTATCAGCTGACCCAAGGAAGAAGTGTAGATCGAAAATAGGAGAGGTCCAAGGACAGAACCTTGGGGGACCCAAACGATAAGAGGAGTAGGAGAGGAGGAAGTAGAGTTGAAAGTGATACTGAAGGTGCGGTAAGATAGGTAAAATTCAGACCAATGGTGAGTAGTACAGTCACGGAGACCAATTAAATAGAGTTTTTTGAGGAGGGGGTGGTCAACTGTGTCAAAGGCAGCGGAGAGGTCCAAGAGTAAGAGTACTGAATAGTGACCATTGGTTTTAGTGGTTAGTAAGTCATTTGTTTGTTTTAGGAGAGCAGTTTCTGTAGAGAGTTGTGGGTGAAATCCAGAATGAAGGGGATTCTCAATAAGGTGGCAGCTCAGCCGGCTGTAGACTAGACATTCAAAGAGTTTGGAGGCAAAAGAGAGTAAGGAGATGGGTTTTAGGTTGCTAAGATTGGTGGGGTCCAGTGAGGCCTTTTTAAGTATAGGGGTGACTAGCACATGTTTTAAAGAGTTGGGGAAAATGCCAGTAGAAAGGGAGATATTGAAGATATGAGTTAAAGAGTGAAGGATAGAATCAAAGAGTGACCGTAGTATTTGCAAGGGAACGGGGTCCAGGGTACAAGGGAACGGGGTCCAGGGTACAGGTGGGCTTTAGAAAACAGTTTAGCCTCTTCTATAGTAGCTGGGTTAAACAAGGGAAGTATAGATTGTGCAGGTGGACAATGAGAGTAGGGTGAGGGAGATATCTGTACAGTGGAGATCTCATCATGAATTGTATCAATCTTAATTTTGAAGTAATTAGCGATCTCCTGGGCAGTGAGTGAGTTAGTGGGTGGAGGTAAAGAAGGACAAAGTAGAGCATTAAAGGTAGAAAATAGCTGAAAGGGATAGTGTGAGAGGGTGTTAATGAGAGTGATAAAATAGATCTGTTTGGCAGAGTGGAGACAGGTATTGTATTTTTGAAGGGTGGATTTATATTGGCCGAAGTCTTGCTGGGTCTTAGTCTTATGCCATAAATGCTCATGAGCATGGCTATGTTTTTTGAGGCATCTGGTATTATCTGTGTGCCAGGGCTGTAGTGGTCAGTGCCTAATTCTGTGTGTAGTGAGGGGGGCCAACAATAAACTGTTGTAGACAGAAGTGGCAGGTTGGGGCAGGACAGGGTTGAATTTTTTGTCATAGAGACAATCTGTTGCAGAAAAAAGAGAAGAATTAAGATAGCGAGGGTTTCTACGGGAAACTGTTCAGTAGTTGGAAGACAAGGAGGAGGAAGCAAAGGAGAGAGTGAAGCTAATAAGGGAGTGATCAGAGAGAGGAAAAGGAAAGTTTGTGAGGTTGCAAGGAGTGCATAGGTAGGAGAATACGAGGTCGAGGCAGTTACCATCAGAGTGTGTAAAAGCACGTGTCCATTGTTTTAGGTCAAAATAAGTGGTTAGGCTCAGAAGTTTAGAGGTAGCGGGAGTGTTAAGATTAACAGGGAAGTTGTAGTCACCGAGAATGATTGTGGGAATTTCAGAAGAGTGAAAGTAAGGCAGCCAGGCAGAGAAGTCATCAAAGAAGCTTGATACCAGTCCAAGAGGCCGATAGATCACAGCAATTCCTAAAGAAACTGGAGAGAGCAGAAAAATACAGTGAACTTCAAGTGAGGAGGACAGAGAGGGAGGTGAATGAAGGACCTGAAAGTGCTTTGAGGGGACAGGAGGATTCCAACTTCACCTACTATCCGTCCACTAGGTCTGGGAGAGAGTCCAGAGGAGACCACCATGGGAGAGGGCAGCAGGAGACGGAAAGTCAGATTCTTGAAGCCAGGTTTCTGTAAATGCAAGTAGGTTAAAGGAGTTTGTGATAAAAAGGTCATGGACAGAGGTGAGTTTGTTACAGACAGAGTGGACATTCCAAAGGGCACAGGAAAAAGGGAGGCTGGTTCTAGGAAGAAGAGGAATAGTAACCAGATTGTGTGGATTGCGTCCGTTGTTAGAAGATAGGGGGTGCTGGGTGTGTTGGTCAAAGGGAAAGGATGGCCCATGATTTGGGGAATTGTCTCCAGATGTTAGAAGCAGAAGGGTGAGAGAGGTAAAATGGGAGTATGACTTATATGGAGGGATAGGTTCCAGTGTCCGGGAGGTTTTATTAGTATGTGGGTTCAGACTTAGCAGGAGATAATGAGTACAGTAATAAGTTAAAGACAGGAGTGTGGACTTTTCCAAGCCTGTAGACTTTACCTTACACATTAGCTGTGTTTGGGGAACAGTGTCAAACGCTTTTCCAAATTCCAAGAATACTATGTCCACAGCCACTTTTGCTTCCCTCCCCATAAAAAGAAATCAGACATGCACATACACACACAAGACAGGCACAAGCCCCAAACATCCTCTTCTGGGGCTCTCCACTGGTGATCTTGGTTCTTCCTCTTCTTTATCTGCCCTCATAGAAAGGCGCTTGCTATGGGGGAAGACGTGCGGGCTCAGTCCTCAGCCAGGGTGTGTGTGTCTATTTACACAGTGTGGCTCACCCCCCCCCCCCCCAGCTGCTTCCTCCTCGCAGGATTTGATTGACGGCAGCAAGAGCCAATGGCTCCCACTGCGGCCTCTGAGTTCTGTGAAGAGAGAGAAAGCAGCACTGCTGTTCTTGGGCACAGTCCTGGATTAAGATCGGCCTCAGGTAGGTATTTGGGAAAGGGGGGGTTTGGGGGGCCTCAACATGAAAGTTTTTTTTACCTAATTGCAGAAAGGGTAAAAAAAAACATTTAACCATTACAACCACTTTAAATACCTTTGCACCCAATTACATATGAGCACTTATCAAACACTTCCATATGTAAGAACGTCGATGGGTGTGTAAACAAGATAGGTCCTTCAATGTCCATGGACATGGTGACATCACTATTCTAACCTTTTAGAATATGTAACATGAGGAGGCTGATTACATAGATTATTACTGAACAACAAATCCATAAGAAAGATTTTCCTCTAGATTGGTGTCACCAGGACAAGTGTCCCCACTGGATAATTTCCCCTTATCTTTCCTTCTCTTCTGATGACAACTGTAAAATGGTGAATTACCCATTCTTGGTGTCAGTGGTCACCAGGACAAATGGAGAGGGGAAATCTGCCTAGTGAGGACATAGAGAGCAATATACACCTGACAGGTGTTCTAACTTCACTACTCTATCTGAAACAACAAAGAACAAGGTTTGGCTATTGTGATATGGGGAATGTTTTGCTCTCATGGTAGATGCGCTTGTCAGTCCAAACTGTATTTAAGGACACGACAGCCCACTTTTATTGAAAAAGAACATAAAGTCTTAAAATCACATGGTTTCCCATGCAGGGGTTCATCTTCAGCAAATACAAATAAGGAAAATGCTGAGCCTCCTGGCTCTTCTGTCAGCAGTACCACTGCTTACTCCGGTCTCCCAGACCATGGGCTCCTCAGGCTCACCTAGCCTATACTTGCAGCCACTCACTGCATTGGCCCCACACTCCTGGCCTCTGGATAGGGTTCTCCCACCATCCTGGGCTCTCTCACTTCTCAAACTTCCTCCAGTCCCCTCTGTGGACTCACTAGTCACCTCAGCTTCTCGGGCTCTCCAGACATTTCCAGTTCTTTGTGCAATAAGTCCCCACAACATAGGGTCTTGACTCCCAAGCAGGTCACCCATCCTGCCTGGAGCACACCGCTATCTCCACACAGAGATACTGTCTCCAAATGGCAGCAACTGCAACTCCTACAGCCCTGAGCAACTCTCAGACTTAGTTTATAATGACCCTGCACATCTGTATGCTTAATGCAGGCTACAGGTGTCTTGCAAAATCTGGACACAGGATTGACAGTTCTGTCCTGCCCAAGACACTTTGAAACCGTCAAGCCTAAGGCCCCAATCTAGGACTACCAAACACAGAGCTTTCTCCACTTACATAATAGATGCTGGAGCTTCTCATTTTTCCAGCCATTTCCTAATCTCACATATTACTATTATTCTACAGGATTTATATACCGCCAACAGTTTGCGCAGCGCTTTACAAAAATATATATGGCTGGGCCTTCCACTGTTACTATATATATATATATATACTGTATATACATACACACACACACACTTTAACTTAAAGCACCCACCTTAAATCACAGATAGTTTGAATTTTATATTGAAATAAGTTACTCTTGGAGGGTAAGGAGACTATGAATGAACTTGAAAATAACATAAGAATGCCTCTTAACAATCATGTACCTAAATGGAGAATTGGTATTAAAATGACTTAAGTAAAATCCCTGGGAAGCTGCAGTGCACTAAGCATGCCCATATTTATAGTGTCACCTTCAGGTCACAATAAGCTTTGGAGAACAAGCTGATTTATGAGCCAGAAGTATCTCTCCAGTCCTCTTACTATTTACTGCCCTCACCTAATCGTTTTATAATCCCTGCAGGTGGAGCTGGTGCAGCTGGTCATCGATGGAGTGAACTATCTGGTTGACTGCGAAAAGAGACTAGAGAGGGGACAAGACATCCGTATCCCAGCACCAGTGGCTCAGTTCAAGCACTAATCCAAAGCTATTACTGTTATACAGCAAAAGAAATGTGGCCTCAAGAATGTATATTAATCATGACACATCAGTGAATGGAACATAATTTATACATTGTGAGTCCACCTGACTTAATATGGTGGTCAGGAACAGCATGCACCCTATGGGCCTGATTTACTAAGGGTAAGCTTGCTTGCCAGGTTGATGATCTCCGATAACATAACAAGGATGCCTTACTCTAATTTTTTAAAAGTGAGTGTGAAATGTACAGTATAAACGTGAAATTCACATACAGTACATACCCAGTGAAAGGTCTACGCAAATATCACTAAAATGTAGCATACATCTTCATTGTCATGACACCCCATTTCAAACTTTATATATATACCAGTACATGGAGGGATTTATTTTGATTTATTTACAAAATTATTTTTGTTACCGCTTTGAACATATTCCTGTTTTTACAATTTTTTCTAAAAAGTTTTGAGCTAGAAATTCTTCAAAATGTACTATCTATCAATGGCTTGCTAACTGATCACCCAGAGTAAACCACATCATTGAGATCATTGACTAAGCCAGGGAGTTAGCTTTGCTTACCCTCATTGGCAGCGTGAGCTCAAATTTAGTAAATCAGGCTGAATATGTTGTACAGCAGTTTAATCATGTTGTGAATATCTCCGTATATACAAGGCAATTGTCACCATGCTAATAAAGTTCACTGCTGCCTATACTGCCTTTGTTTCTTATCATCTGAAGTCATAATAATTGATAAGGACATTTGAAAATAATCTGTGACTACTTACACTGGTAGATTTTCAAGGAAACGTTTGAACATAAAAACAAAATCCTGTAAGTAAATTTGCCAACAGAAACTTGATGAATTTCATTCAAAATTCCATTTACTTTTAACTTTTGAATGTGAAATAAGAGGAATTTCCAAAACAAAACCAATCCACAGTTTAAATGTACAAATGTTATGTGCAAAACCAAAGACTCCCATTTTCGAACTTTACTAAATCACCTGATAGCTAAACGAAAAAAAAACCCCAACAAACTGAACAGAGTACTTAGCTTAACTTGCTTGCAGAACAACAACAGAGCAGACATGATCACATCAGTGCTGAACACTAAAGTCAGTAAACCATTGCACTTCTCAATGTAGATTGCTGGCTGACTATCTCCGGTCATTTAACAGGAGACAGACAAAAAACTTTTCTATTCACTTTAAAATATATTTACCAAAAGTTTGCGTTCTATCTATATATTTTTTGTTACAAAACAATTTGCATCCTTAAAAATATTTTAACCTAATATGCTACTATTATATAAAACCCATCATTATTTTTAGATGAATAACTGGAGTGACACCAGAAACATTTGGTAAGCACTAGTGCAACATGCAACATGTCAGTCATTCCTCTTAAAGTGATCATATTTATTGACCAATTCCATAAAATCATAGCTGTCTGAACAAATTACAGGACCCTTATACAGCTAGTAAATATATTGTTGTGGGAAAAAGGTCTCCTCTGAACTAAAAGGTCACCAGGCTGTTCCAAATCATTTATAATTAAGGGTCACAGATGTTTCCTATAGAATGAATTCCCCTCTTCTGGCTTCCCTCACAGCGGGGTCTCTATAGGTTCTTTTAATGAGGAGGCTTCAGTCTGTGGAAGAGATGTAGTGGGGAATGATAGTCACAAGAGCTGCTAATGCAGTGACCCAAAAATCAAACTAGATCCTCTTTATAAGTGAAATGATGTGAGCAAAAATTCTAAACATCTTTTTTTCCCACTTGAATTATGTACGTCAGGGACGTGTGAAGATAGGTACTTCTCTAGCTGGGAGATTATAAATAAAATGAATGCGTGGGCCATGTGTTCAGGCTAAAACAGCTTCTGGAATCTATAATAAGAAGTTGAATTTATTTGAAATCGGCATCCTATAAATCTGAAAGATCTCAACCCTTCTTGCTAAAAAAATTAAAAGCAGCTTTGTATGTAGTGTTGTTGTCTCATTTACGTTGATTAATTAGTCAGGGTTAAAAAATAAGGTTCAACTGAACTTATAAAAAAAAGTGCAAAGCAATGGGATCAACAGTAACCCATAAGAAACAATGTGATTTCATCTTTCACCATAAAAGGAAGTTGCAGTTTACAATTATAACACAATGGGGTTGATTTACTAAAAAGGAAATACCGTAGGTTGTTCACTTTTTAAGGGAATTTTCATTTTTCAAAGGAGTTATCCCTTAGCTTGTAAAAATAAAGTTTTTTGTCTTTTCCTTGCCTGTTATCAGGCATTCATTGCAACGTGAATTATATCCACATTCACTAAGCTAAAGCCAGCCATACATGGATAGAAATTCACCCAGTTCAGCAGGCACCAGCCGAACATCGATCTGTGAATGGTCTGTCTGCTAGTAAACACGTCGACCTATCAATCACCTTGTGTACAACCATCCTGTAGTGTTATTTCAGAACGATCAGTGTTGCTGGCTATATCCGGAAACACTAAACAATGTATATTGCTGGTGTGCAAGGATTCCCCTTATCCATATCGAATGTATTGATGGGAGAACCGGCTCATTTTCTTTCATTCAACCTGCTTCTTGAATTAAAAAAAGAAACATGTATGGTCTGCCTAAAGCCTGCCATAGACAGAAATGAACAAATTTCGATCCACCTACGGGCAGGCTGGTTGTACTGAAGTCGATCAATAGCCTCTCTTTTTTTTACACATGATCATTGTATTCTGTCAGCTGGGACACCTTCTGCTGTCAGAATATAATAGCACAGCAGGAGGGATACCCCATCAACACTTACTGTGTTGATGGGGAAAATTAGAATTTTTCTTTCTCTCAACCCATGCCTGAAGGAAAGAAAAATGCATAATGTATGGGCTGCCTTAGGAAAAGTCCCCTTGCAAACTAAACAGCCTATTTGACTTTACTAGGTCAACCCCTATAGGATAGCCAATGAAATTTCAGCATAAACACAGCTATCACTAATCTATTGTACTGTGGTATGGGTCCTTTTCATAAAGATTCATCAGGTGATTTCACAAATCTGTCTGACCTATTTTATCAGCATTTGTTATTTTGCTTTACAATGGGGACCACTGATAAAACTTTACTGCAAGTGATTACTTTTCACCAGCGGTGTATCTTTTCAATGTAAATATGACATTTTACCAATGTGTTAAAGCGGCATTAAACCCAAAACCAAAAATGTAATATATTGCAAGCTTACCAACCATTAGATGTGGGAGCTGCATTTTTTTTTGTTTTTAGTCTCTTTTTTCACCTGGTTATCCAACCAGCCACATACTTCCAGTCTTAAGCCCTGTACACATGGGCCAAAACCGACCACTTCAACAGAAATCGGCTGACATTCGGCCAGTGTGTACACCAGCCTGGCTGGCTTCTGTAGAACAGGCATGTTGGAAAACCAGCATCCAATCAGCATTTGAACAGTGCTGGCAGCCAATGACTGCGAGTGCTGACCGGTGTGTTCTGGCGGGGAGTGGGGGGGAGGCAAAGAGGTGGTTGAGATGCAGATTTACCACTTCCTGACTGCCTGCCTAAAGACTTACACGCAGCCACAGTCAGCTGTCCACAAACCACGGTGATACTATGCTTCATGGCTGCGGCTTCTTGGGCAGGCCATAGATTATGCATTTTTCTTTCCCTCCACCATGAGTGGAAGGAAAGAAAATTGCTCGATTCCCCCATCAACACAGTCAGTGTTTTTGTTGGAGAATCCCTCCTGCAGCACTATTGTGCTCTGCTGGTGGGGAGCCTTCCCTGCCAGCAGGACACATTCATTAGTGTTGCCGGCGATAGCTGGTGGAGCTAATCCTGCAGGAAAAACACGACTGGCTGGTTGTACACAAGTTAATTGGCTTGTGTACAATCAGGGTGCCCATACATGAATCAAAATTCGAGCAGTCCTTGCTGAACCAGCTGAATTTCGCTCCATGTATGGCCGACTTTACTGGCTTCATAGTGAAGTTCTGTGAGGTGTCCAAAGAAGAGCAGGAAAATTAGGCATCTGAGAAGGGAGTAAATACAAATTCATCAGAAATACTGTAGAAGCTTTTCTGTATAGAAATATCCATTTTATGTGAAAAATACCTATTCCACAGCTATAAAATATTTATGTTTTGTGAACTGAATATTTCATGAGAAAATTAGCTTAATGTAATTCATACTTATTAATATTTGAACCTAATAATTAACTCATGAAAATATTCAATACACAAACAAAAATATTGTATTAGTTTAAAATTTGTATTTTCTCAGCTTTCTGTTGCAGTGACCCCTTTTTGGAATAAATGAGGTCTAGGGGGAAGTCACAGGGACCAGAAGGCACACACAGCAATAAAAATGTGACCCATGTTCTAATCTTCTCCCCACTCGACTACAGAAAGTGATTTACTGGTGCTATTTTCTGTTCCTCTGATCCCCTCTAACTAAAGAGGGAATACAAAAGAGGGCACAGAGAGCAATAAATGTCTAAATGGTTCTAACCCTTCCCCACCATGTCTAAAAGGGGCTGAATTAAGTTAGGCTTTAGCTGTTGAAAGCTTCTATTTCTCCTTAGAGTGGAACTTTTGGCTATGATTTAAAAACTGGTGGACAGGCAGGATTTTTAATGCAGAAGAGACATGCTTTGTCTCTTCTGCAATAAAGGTTCTTACCTGCAAATCCCCCCCCTGTACAGTAAGCTGTGCAAGTGCAGCTCACTGCACTATTTCAGCAAAGCCGAATTAGACAGAGCTCCCACAAATGCGCAGGAGTGATGTCATCTCCACCTGGCCAATGACATCTGAGATTGGGACCCGGAAACCAGCAGCCGGAACATGTTAGTGGCCGGCGAGAATTCACGGGAAAGCGCATCCCTGGATTCTAGATGAGTATAGTTCTGCTTTAAGGCCTCATGCACACTGGATGTTTGTAACGTGGCTGTTAGGGTGTTTGACATGTTTTTTTCTGTCGCTAAATGCTCCTGCATGTGTCC